CAGAGTTTTTTAACATATTTTTTAAATAAATGAAAAAATAGTGGTGGAAACAATATTTGTTTTATACATCTTGTCTGTTCCGTTATCACGGTTGCTGAAAAGTTACCGAAACGTCGGTTTGTATGAATTTTTTTAAAATAATCGACACGCGTTGTGATCCAAATGATATTAGTTTCATGTAATACATATAAGTGTTCATTCCTTCAACTTTCAGAATTTTTTTATTATTTGTGTGTTAAAAAACTGATTAAATATTGAGAGTTGACGTAATTGTCTCAACAAATGTGAGTTTATGGCCTGTAGGAACTGCATCACAAAATACTTTTGTCAACAAATAAACATTAAATATATAAATAAATCAATACAATACTGTAATAACTTTTATTATTTTGTTCATAAATAAATGATGTGAATTCGGCCAAAAAAATACTGTCTTCGTTAAATTCGTATCTTGTATATAATGTGGGATAAGTGTAGGTTGGTGTGTGCCAACTCGAGCGTCGACGATCTCATTCAGGGAAAGCGACGTGTGTCATTGTCTCGGCCAATTTACTTGGGGAAGGTGCCGTGAAATACAAAAATCATTTTAAAGATCTTGGTATTGTAAATTTATCTTGTACATCAGTATGTCAAATGTTGTGATCTTAAGAAATTGCTATTTTCCTCTTATTTTTTAATGTAAAATTACTATAGTATCTTATTGGAGTGATGACAAGATATATACAAAGTTATCAAGACATTTGTTTGAAAGAAATCTTCAATTATAAAGTGTGATAAGGCAATGTAAATCATTATTTCTACATATTTATTTCGTCTTTCTACAAGATTGGATATATTCTCAATACTTTACAAATTAGTATAATATAATGTTTATTCTTCATATATACAAAGAAAATTATTGAGACGAAACCTCTCAAAATTCTATGGATTCACCGTGCGGGTGGCGAGTCCCTTGCGTTGCAGTAAAAGGAGCTTCAATAGCGCCTGGGTAGGTTTTACTGACGACGAAGGTTTAACTGGTCCCTAACTACCGCTCGTTTAATTATTTAAAAACCAATGAAAAAGCTGAGGCTATTTACATTGTATTATGTAATTATAATTTAAAAGAAGTTATTTTATGATTTTATTTTTATAGCCAAAAACATAATTTATGTATATTTCACTCTGCGTTGGGCTAAATCTGATTTTTTTTAAAATGTATCAGTTAAATTACATTCATGATTAAAAATTACCTACTGATTTAAATAGCCAATGTTCCGTAAAATTATTACAACAATAGAAAATATAGATGTTTTAATTATTAATGTTTTATATAAATTTTTAATGATTTTTTTGTGAGGCTCCATAAACCTAAATCACAAACTCATTCACATAGAAAATACTGTACTTTTAGTAATGAAACTTTGCGACTATGTTCCTTATAAAACTGAATAGCCCAAAACTAGTATTTATATTCATTAAACCGAAAAACGCCCAAGGGAGCTTAATTTTATAACACACTAAAACTAATAATCAGACGAACGAAATAATTAACTATGTACCTTAGTTACTTAAACTAAATAGATAGAACATTTGCATTTATTATAATTCCTACTTAATATTCATAGTTAGAAAATTAAATGGAATATGTAATATAGCTCTCCAAAGAATACGGACTTCGTGATTGTGTTACACAATATGAGTTAATTTTTAATTTGATACTTATACCAATAAAAAAGAAGATTTAAAAGTTAATGACAAAACTACTTAAAAATATACATATTTTACATAATAATAAAAATTACATATAACAATAACATAATATATTCCTAACATTATATGAGTACCTAGATGCTATTTTATTATAGCAATATAATCCTACTGCTTGTGTGTTATGACGGGAATTTTCTGTTTTTTCTCCAAAGCAAAATGACTAGTTTTATGATAATAATTTATCAACACATGAGTGTATCCATGATGTTCGCATGTACGTTGTAGAAGATTTTTTTTTTTTATTCATATTGAATTTTTTTAATTAATATTGAGTTTTGAGAAAACCACAGCATAAAGTTACGATTTGACCTCACACATATTTTGTCTTAGATTAAAAAAAATCGTTACAGTATTTTAATATGATCATCGTGTAATAAGCATTAACGACAACAAAACCCTGTTAAATGTTACAAAAAATGATTTTCCATATGTTTATTTTATGATATAGAATAAAATCATCTCAAAATATTTTTCTTTCTTGTTACGAATTAATATTTTGATGTTAGTTTTATATTTCAGGAACATATTATGAAGCCTTTTACCTTATCAGATGAAATTAGTCCATGCCTAAAGAGCTATTCCTTAGCACGCTACTCGTTCTCCAAGTCATCTACTCAATTATCTTTCACATTATTATACCAAAATGAGTAAAGATACTTACATACTATTTATTCTTCACAAATCTTCCATGTAGTGGAGGGAGGATAGGAGCTTCGTGACGTCACCAGCACACACCAACTCAAGAATCAGCTCGTTTTGTGAACTCACTGCAAGCTGACGACAAAGCGTACTGATTCTAATGTTGGATGTCTGCTAACTTCTTATCTTCTCCACACATGTAGATATTATCTTCATTGATCTGCTCCCGTATTAGAAAAATTTAATAAAATTCACGCAAATAATTTGGCATTAAAATTTAGACCTGAGAAAAATTCGCACTTCATACAAATGAGATCTACTATTCTTTAAAATAAAGATAGATTTTGTATTAGGTATAGAAATAAAAACAGCATTTATTATCGAAATATCATTTCATACGAAGCTTTCTTTCATCAAACAAAGCCTTTGAAGGTACAGCCTTGTGTTGTGTGTCGGTGACAAGTCTAGTATAAAAGCATCATACAAGTTCCTTTTACCTATAACTGATACGTACTTTGTCAATATTTATTTTGTCCGTGAAAACCAACACTTTCAGTATATCTTTGTGGCTGTGAATCTTCTCTTTTGTTGTTGCAAAGTTTTATTAGGACTTCTATTGTGAAGTATATTTTTTATATTTTCTATGAAAGTAAATATTTAAAGATACTTACTTGTAGTATTGGGCCAAAATTTTCAAATGAATAAAATATTACTTTCTTTAATACTTGAATTCATAATTGTATTATCAAAACAGTTTTAAATGAAATACTATAAAGTTGTGAAATTCTGATCCTGAGTTTTAATAGCTGCAAAACTAATTCATAAATGAAAAACTGTGTATTTCTGTGCTTTTTTTATTTAGTTCAAATTGAGAGTTGCATTTTGTTTGACATACAATTTTTAAATTCTAATTCTTAAATATTTTAATCGATTCAACTTTGGCTAAAAAATGTTCATTTTATTTTGTCATACGATTGATGGCTCCTAAAATTATTATCTGTTTTAAATAAGCTGATAATTATTGCCTATACTTTTAAAGTCTTTATAAATACGTATATAAGAAAGTAGTTCATTCAGACTTCATTATCCACGCTTATTATTTATCGTATCTTAAAATAAAATAAACAAAAAAAATTAAGCGATTATTTCATCAAAATAAAAGTGCCATGTATTTCTATTATATAAAGTACCTCACCTTTTCCGTGAAGGCTGAAAAGAATTATGTCTGATGAAGTGAATGTAATCCAGGAAAATCGGAGGGAAGCCGAGGATTACTTTATCCACGCACAATTTATTGCTTCATCTTAAAGCGCATTAAATGATAAGAAAAAAAAATACATTTCACGATTAATAAATTGGTCTTTATTTAGCTCGGAATGAAATCTAACAGCGTGAAGTATAAATTAATTCACATACATTTTAACTTCAATTAATATACATTAAAAATTATATAACACTTAAACGAAATTAATATAATTCTCAGAAAATTAACGATATAACTTTAAATTAAAACGGTTAAAAGCATTAAGTTTTAACGAATAATTTAATTATATATTCTCATTAAACACTCACATTACTTAACTATATCTATAATAAAAGTTAATGATAATTTAGTACTTTAGTATTGATGTATGTATACGTGATAAAGTCTATAAAGCGTTTGTTTTAAAGTGTTTCATTACAATACATCGAAGAAATATTACAACTAGAACAACTATATCTATATAATTATATTTATATTTTAACTTATATAAGAAAATAATATTATTTTATTAGTTATTACAAAGTTACTATCTTTTTTGTTACTGGAATTCGATTTAAACAGAATTAGAGAACTCTTTTTATTGATCTAATTGACTTTTTTTTCCATCTACTGTCAATACCAAATCTTCTTCAATTTACTAACAGAAACATTTTTTTTATATTAAACTTATTTTATCATAAAATAAATTAACATTACGCAATTCCCATATCCATTTTAACTTTATTCACATTTTAATATAATTCTATATAATATTTAAACAGAAACTTGAAATTATTATTTATATTTAATTTAAATAAAAGTATCATTATGTCCATTTTCGTTAAATAGTAAGAAATATATGATTAATGTTTACATCTTCAAAGATCATAATTTGTTAGAGTAAGCTTCTTGAAACTAAAACTTGCTTCTAAAGTTATCTTAATTCAAAATAAAGCCTTCTACAGACCATTCGGAGTGCTTGTCAAAAACAAGCCAGTTCGGGTCGAGATGAGTTATAGTCGACTTCAAAACAACTTGTCACATAAATAAAATGTACTATATTCCAATCTCAATACTTTGATTTAAACTCTTAGTTTCCTACCCTTTTTAATAATATACTTTACTTGATAATTATTATTATAAATAAAAAATTAAAAAGACAAAATCTTTATCGCTACTCGATAGAATCTACTTAAGGACAAGACTAGTCAAGATCTAATATATCAAGCATAAATAAATTTAAGGCATTATATTGAATATATTAAAGGAACTTAAGTAATAGCTTAAAAATATAAATGAGGCGGGAAGTGATTCGGTAATTTCGATAAAAGCATCTATAATTGTACGTTGAACGTGACGTGAGCGGTCAGCGCCCACGAACAAGGACTAAGGTGAATGCCAGCGTCATCATCACTGCTGCTTCTGGACTTCTCGTGATGGCGCTGTTACACTCATCAGTCTCACAGCAGAAGGTACGAGCACCCCACCACTCTGATGACAAAAGATAAAATTGTACAATCACTCATTATTTATGATATACAAATATATTAACCCGTATATAAAACTGTAAGACCATGAATAAGTTTTTTATGTAAATATTTTTTTCATGAGAAAGGTTGCATACGAGCAGACTTGATGGGCAGCAGTCAATCTAGGTTATTGAGGAAATAAGAGGAGTGGGATTAAGGAAAAGACAGGAAAGGGTGTGAACAGGGAAAGGGCAACCGGCTCTCTCACTCATAGAACTAAACGCAGACATTGAAGTCTACTTCACGGCGATTTTCTGTGAGAGGGTGGTACTTTTCTGGTTGAGTCTGCTCATCTTGCGTTATAGATAACTATATTTACTAGTAGAAACAGAATTCAAATTATTTATTATTAACATACATCTTTAAGGGCAAATTTTGTTTTCAGTATACATACATACAGTAGATTTTATTTACATATAATACCTTGTACCTTTATGAATTGTGATCAGATTATGTTAATGTCTATACAATTGTAATGTGTTTGAGATAAATAAACATTATTATTATTATTATTAAACATATTAATTTGATAAGAACCGTAGAAACAATTTCAAAGTGCGTGCAGACCGCATTTATATCAATAGAACCCACTAATACTATTACGATTCCGATTAAAATAATTGTACATAAATGTTATTGAAAATATCAATGTTATACACTTTTCATGTACAACAACCAACAACTATACAACTCTCTGTGGTAACAACCGTTCCACAACTTCATGCATACCACTTTAAAACTATACCAAAATTTAAAAGCCTTTTAGCGAAACTTCACTGACATGCTTTTTATGGATATGTTACTTTTTAACACACTAACTTTTATTCAATATTAAAAGGGAATATTTCTAACATTTTGGTTCAAAAATATTTTATATATGAAAAAATAACTAAAACTGAACTAATATTTAAAAATAGATAACGTTCTGGTCTTGTACGATCATTTGTCTTTTCATTCTGTGAATATAGAAGAGAATTGCGAATGGTAACCATTTATAAGTGTTGAAAAATGTAATCGATTGTAGACGATTTGAAGAATGAAGATATTTGTGACAAGTCCGTTTAATATAATTGTATATTTTTTGAAAAAAACAGGTTGCAAATAATGTTATGTTAGTATATCGTTTGCGTTTATTGAACAAAAACCTCTGTTTACATATGTGAGACTAAGGATAGATAGGCTTTTTATACTTAAGTTTACCATCTGTATTAGAATTCTCAATACTTGTTACTTTGTTGTTACTTTTCCATAATATTACCTAAAAAAAACGACAGTCTACATTTATATCCGTTACAATGGAACCAAATTTTCTTTAAATATTTTTGTTCATCCCACCATAGAACATTTGCAACTATTATAACAAAACAAAGCACTAAAAATTTCGAACTTTTTCCATGTCAACTCGGCTTTTGAGTTTCGTCAGCGATATCTGATATTCTTGTATATAAAACATTGTTGTTTCTTACTGACCGTATTATTACGAAGTACATGTTATTGTGAAGAATGAAACCTTCAAGGCTGTACCTTTGTTGTGTTAAATATGGATATTGATGGAAAATTTGAGAGACGACGAGAGATGAAAATATAAAAAGAAAAGAAGTTTATAAAGTGAAAGGAAGTTATAACAAGTCTACACTCCATGGTTTGAAAGAATAATTACGGAATTACAATCAATAGAAATAGGTCAGTGTAATAATAAATGACGCTAATCAATAATCAATCACATTAGAGCACTAGATATATATCTTAATGGGCTAACTATTATCATATTTAACTTAAATTATATAAAATTATAGTGAAATTACCTTTTTCGCTGCATGTCGGCACGCAATCTCTAACCACGGTCAATTCGCTCACGTATTTCTGAAACAAGGTAAATAATTAAATACTTATATACAATAATAATTAGAGTATATACAGGATTTTATATATACTTATTTCATTTGGTCAAAAGTTAAAGTCAGAAAGTTTGCAAATATAAACAAACTTATAATAAGGTTAGTAAAAATGTGTTTTAAAAGTAACCTAGTATTAAAAAGGGCATTCAAAATAAATATTCTATACGACGGTTAAAATAAAGAAATCATATCTTTTTATTATAATTTATATAACCATATAACCAGTGTACAGTAATATTAATAGGATTGGAAAATTTTCTAAACTTGATTCAACTCAAGTCAAGTGAAGTCTCTGTATGAGCCGTTGTTTGTATGCATTTATCTACATGTCAAGTTTAAAGCTGATATAATAGGTTTAAACGTTTAACCTTGAAATGGCGAGGCTTGGAATATATTAAATGGACGTTTATTACACTGCAGGGAAATTAAGAGAACCGCAGACTACAGGCGTGTTATGTAAACCTCCTACGTTTTATATATAGGAATACATCGATATTCATAAGCTGATTTAAACCCAACTATGGAGTATTACATGACGTATATATAGGTACATAAATTATGTTCAACAGAAAATTTTAATAGCAATATAAATGAGTAGTTTCCGATTATATAACGTAACTTTTTCTACTCTCATCGTTTTAATATCTTCATTGTTAATAACTTGGCATAGTTATACATTTTAATGATAATCGTTGAAGGCTTTTGCAGAGAGAAAACTATTTTAGACGTAACAAAATCAACAATTAATCGTGAATAGTTCTGACTACTGTTCATGTAAATTTTGTGTTCGATAAGATTAATATTACATCTGCTTTCTTGAACACCACAATCTATTAATTACAAGCTGTGCTTAAAGATTTCGAATAAATTGTTATTAAATCTAAATAAAATTTTAACACGTAGAAAAAAGTACAAATTAAAGTAAATGAAGAAAAATCTAGCTAATTCGTATATTTCGATTATATGGTAGAGTTGAGAAAATTCTTAGGTTTTCTCAATTAAATTGCTTTTATAATATCTCATAAAAGATAAAATAATAAAATATAAGATAAAATGTACATTTTAATATTAAATATTGCTTTCACTTCATATTTCTTTTATATTTTAAATAACAACTTGCAAATAATGTATTTCTCGTACGACTCAACAAGAACAAAAACACATCTACAGTCTTTAGACATTTAAAATATAAAACGTTAAGAGTTTATGCATTCTTATTCCATTTCAACAAATTTGAAAACACATATAAGTTGTAGAATATCTTTTCTAATCTCACTTCTTTTCCTTCATAATGAAATAAACTGTTTTAAACATAAAAAGAATTGATTTAATTAAAAGAAAAATATGATTGTTTCTTTCTCATGTTGTATTTAAGAAGATTATTATCGATCCTCCTTTCTTTTATTTGAAGATATTATAGTATCAAATTGGAAAAATATTTCAAATCAAAATTAAACAAGAGCATATATATTTTAATCGTTACTCATGCCAGCATCAAGTCCTAATTAACGACGTAAGTACTACCTGATAATATCATTTCCGAACGAATATATTATTAATACTAACTGTCAATAATACCACATCAATGCTTTTTTATTAAACTTTGGATGCCAGTTAAATACAAAATACATTAAAGTTAATGAAATCTAAAACTATTCATTTAAACGCAACTAATATTTTCGGATTCCTACGCGTATTTTATTATTGTATACTCCCGATGTTTCAGTTACTTCACAGCAACCGTGATCACGGGTAGACGAGATATGAATCTTTTAAATAATCTTTGTTCAAGGGAGCGTTCCTTACTTATTGTCAAATTAAATACATATTAAATAATTAAATTGCATTGCTATAACACGTATGTAGTGAACTATTTAAATTATTGATTTGTTTAGAAGGTATAGAGAATACAAATAATTGTTTAAGAACCAATGTTCTTACCTCTCTATGCAATCATAGATTATAGTTATTAGTAGCTAAAAATATAAGATGAATTTGTTTTCTATTTGTTTCAAGGATCAAAGAATTTATAAGAATTTAAAATTTAGTTTTAATTATCAACCTGTATTTACTAATTTAACATATAGAGTTCTAGAACAAAGTCAAGAAAAGGTTTATGTGATTTTATACACAATTCAATTTTGAAACTCAGATTAAGTTCAAAAACTTTACCGATTTCAACGTAACCTACGTAATAATATCGGGAAAATTGAAAATTATATAATATACTGCTTTACAAAACTAAAATGATTGTTTCGTTAGGTTAGTATTTATAATATTCTCCCAATTCATATTACCTTTAGAATCCTTACCCGCTAATTGTTAAAAGGTAAAAAACTTTATTATATTACTAAATCACACATTTAATTACATTGAAGAAGCTAACGAATAAAAAGACTCTCTTTAAAGAGAAATGAAACCCAAACAAAAACAATAAATGTTATTATAAATATACTTGACAAAGACTCGCAGTCTTTAAGATAAGGAACGTTCAAAGCCAAAGTCTGCAATAAGATGAATGAAGTAAATTGAAAACGGATTTGTGAAACAAAAAGCTATAAGCTGCTCCCATTTGAAACAAAATATCTTTGTTATGATACTTTTATACAAACTATGAACTTAAATAATATTATTAAAAAAAGTATTTCTATAAACAAAAAACAGTTGCCTTTTTCTATGCCAGCAAAATTTAATATTCAATTTCTCTGGACTTATTTACCATCCTATATATATATTTTTTTGACAAAAATTGTAATGTATATTATATAAAAAGGTAATGAAAATAATCTTCCTGAGAATTAATCAGTCAAAGACGATTAATATTCATGATTTAGGTGAACAACTTAAATCATATTAAAATTTTATGTTTTTCTAACGAACAAGCGGTATCAATTTTTGATTTGCATCACAAAGTTTTTATCAAAATATATATTTTTTTGTTTTATTTTAAGTAACTATTTACTTTTACAATACTTCAATTTTAAAGATCTATTAATCCAATAACGACAGGACAATTGTTTTGTCTGCTTTAAAGGGATTTGCCAAACATTATATTAGGATTTTTCAAGAGCTTAGTTTTTATTTTTCGAAAAGCAATATGAATGTTCTCTGTGCAAAATGGCACAAAGTAGTCTATTAATGGACAATCAAATACAAGGGCGTCAATTCTTTTTCTGTAGACCTCTCTTCGAAAGAAGTGACACGCATCCTCTTACCTCATGTTACCAATAAAGATTTGGACTAGTTAGGCGTCATCCTTCCAATCACACTTTGAATGTTATCAAGGCTAGAATGAGCAGTCTATTACTGAGATAATCAATTCAACATTTACAGCTTTATTTACACAAACAAACTAGCCGCATTACCGTTAAGTACCAGTCAGGAGAAATAAAAAAGTTGGTAACAATAGTGTTGAAATTTTACATACTTCATCTATCTTCTTTATATAAAAAAAAGTTAAAACTAGAGCAGGATTTAAAATAGACTTCAATGGACTTAGAATAAATCTGAATTTTAAAGTAAGGCAATTACCTTCTGCTCGTCTTTCTGTGAAATTTAAAAGCAATTTTCAGCCACTTTAAAGTGTAAATGAACTTGCTATTGCATAATTGTTTAAACTTTGAACTCACTGTATGACTTTTTACTGTTCAAGAAGAATAATTTGCTGAACAATACATTTTTTTTCTGTAATGACGCAATTTTATTGGTTTGAGATTACAGCAATTTTCGATAGCAATATCAATAGGATTGAAAAATTTTGCTTTTTCAAGAACAGCTACTAATCCCAAAATACAACCTATATCGTATGAGCTGACTTAATTCTGACTTTTCCTCTTAAAACGATGGATATACAATAAATATTGAAATTACATTTCTTTTGATCCCTGATGAAAGGGAAAATCGGAAGTCATTTTCTGTCCGGGTACTATCGATCAGCTACAGTCTAAAAAAGGTTTCATCACACACACTGTATACATGTGTCGACCTAATATGTATATGTATATATATGATATACTATCATATAATTTTCCATATATTGACAAATATATTAGAACCTTGAACTAGATAAATAGGAGTTATAGACGTATCTGCAAGTAATGGTCTCATTGTCCAATATCTGGTACAAAATTTATCTTAACCTACTTTAAAAAAGAATAATTACTCTTTTACATTTATTACTAAAACTGTGAAAAGTATATTCAATTAATTCTAAATCTCTATCATTTATGAAGTGGTCATATTAATGTTCATCAGAGAAAAATATATTTTAGCAATGAATCCATTTTTCTATAACAATTGTTTTAAATAATTTTATTGCATTGATATAGAGAACCGCTTTTAGCTGGTTGAAAGTATTTGCTGAACTAATGCTCTGACAAATACACTAATGTACTTACTAGCGGTTTCTCTGACACTGAGTAGAGTAACCAAACATTACACTTTCTATAAATTCAGTTGAACTTGCAACGAAAAATAATTAGAAATAGTGCAATTAATGAAGAGTTTAGTAACAATTTATTAACTTGTTAACTTAAACACAGTAACTGAAATAAAATGGTTTGATTTATTTTATATAAAAATTAGAATTAAGAAAGAATTGTGAAGTGAAATTATTAAATACGACAACCAATTGAAGAGAAATTAGCAAGAAGACATTTATTTTATTTATATTTAATATGTGAACTATTATTTAATACGTTCCAGTATTCCGTATTCTATAAGTTACTTTTGTTCACCTGATTCCTATACTACTTTGTTACAAAACTTTGTTAAATTGTAATAGTTTATTAATATACAACTGACACCGTTGTCGGCGGTGAGTTCCGCTATACTAACTTTGTTGTATCTGGTTTAGATACAGCGAATGATCTGTTTTAAAAGGTTTTAATATAAAACAAAGCAATAATGTTTAATAACTATGTTCAGATATCAGTTACTGATAGTGATATAGATATATTAATTAAACTGTTTTTCTGTGAAACCTGAATATTTTCCTGAAGATATTGCCTTGAAGCCCTAAAGCTGAATTATTCAAACTTGTTTTTTTTTCGGTAAACTAAATTCCAGTGTATTTACTAAGGAATGAATAGAATCACAATAATAGGACGTGAAGCAAAAATATTATATTCTTTAAAAAAATACACACAAATGAGCTGAGAATTTAATTAATTTAAAGTTTATATAGAGAGCAATACACAAAGTATTAAATATCTAGAATAAAAAATATACATACTACCATGACTTTGACCACAAAATAAGTAATTTCGTCCCTCCAAATCTGTATTATCGCTTAAACATAATAACATCTGCTTTCTACTATTTAATTTAACAAACAAATAATTATGTTTTATCATATCATACTATGTACGTTGTTACTACTACACGTTTATCAAAAGTTTTATAACACATTGTAACAATTAATTTTTATCAGATTGGAATTGTCTTAAAAAGTACCAAAATTTTGTGGTAGTTGCTATTTCACCTTTAAGTTCCTTTTGGATATTTTCAAATGCCATTGTTCAATGTTCAATGCAGTAAAAAGAGACACTGAAATCTGTGATGAGACTATGTGAAACCATTTTGAATGCTTTTCAAGACTTTATTAGCAGCCACTTTGAACTTTACCTTTGAAAACCTTTATCAGACATCTTAATTAAAGAACGGAAAAATGTACCTTTGTTATCTTTACTACAGAATGGGGCATGAAATCTATATCGAGTCATAGAAACATAAAAGACGGTCAAGGACAAACTAATCATAATCTTGATTAAAATGTATAAAAAAATCGACACATGCAGTGTGTTATTTTTAGGTAGGTATCAAAAGTGTCTGCCTACCGCATCGAAATTAAAGACAAGATCAAAATCTAAGACCATAAGCCATAAGGATAGAGACATTTCGCTTGTCCTATATACATATATATGTGTTGTCAAAATTTAAAAAAGCCAATAAGGTAATAATGAGATTAAACTGGGAAACTAAAAACACAAAATTTACGCAATTCTTTTCGTACTGAGTGTACAATCATACTGAAATAATTTGACAACTTCGATATAATTATTCACTCGATATGTATTAGTAAAAAAAATATCACGCATATAAGAAATAAAAGATTAATTTTATTCTCCATTTGGTCTTTCTCACAGTCAGGTAAGAGACAAACGTTGAAATTGCTTTTTATATTATGTGAAAACAGGAGCTACAAATAAAGGTTGGGCAAAGAAAACAGTCATTTTGTTTATCAATCAATAAAAACGCCTTATTGTGATCTAAAATACTCAATATTGAGAAGATTTCTTTTGAAATTATAAGGCAATATTATGTTGACAACAGATTGAACTTACAACGAAGTTTGGGAGAAAATTTTTTTAACCCCTTTAATGCTATTGATAATTATTTCTCTTTCTATTTAAATATTTGTATGTAAATTATATTATTTAAATAGACCAATTCAATCCAGTCAAGGTCTATCATTTCTTTCTTTTACAGACCCTAATTGTTTCATACAGCGGTTATTTCCTTGAAAGTTGACTGGGACATAATGTTATAGCATTAAGTCCGCCTTTTGTTCATCTTCTGTGCAATAAATAATAAATAAATGAAAGACTGCACCAAAATGATGACTTGAAATATTAAATATTAAACTTGAAATATTGATGACTTGAAATATTAAACTTGAAATATTATATATTTAAGTAGGGCAGTATATTTTGATTTGGCTTAAAAATATTTTATTTCATTGATACTTTAATCAATAAGAAAGTGTTAAGAATCAAACCTTCATCATAGTAATATTCTATTTTATCTAAAACTTAGCACTATTATAATAAATGAAAAAATCAACAAATTTGTGAAGCAAAACGATATAAAACAAAACCTTATATCTCAGTTACGCTCACGAAGTTATATCAATAAAATAATAATAATTAATGACAGTAACCTCATTAATGAATATTTTATTATAGATGATTTATTATTAATAAAACCCTTGAATGGGTTATGGTTTTATTTTTTTTAGTGGTTAAAGAACTTCATAAATAGGGTTAAATATTTTTCTATGTTTACCTATATTTAAAAAGTATCCGAATTATAATATCTTACGGCGAAAAATATATATCTATTTCTTTTCATTTATCAAACCTTTGTTAAGAACGAAAACAAATTACTAAAAATACTGTTACACTTTCTTTATCTTTTAACTTCACTAAAATGGTCTCCAGAATAAGATGAAAATTATATGACGTCATTAAATGAATATTATTACATTTCCTCGGATGTGAGCCACATATATGTATAGCTTATATTTTTGGAACTAAACTTGTCGAAATACGTACCCGATTTTAATACCTTACAAGTATATGAAAATTAATATTTAGCCCTTCGATTTAAAGAATGTACACATTTTTTACAAATTATTAAAAAATATATAATTTTAGTGAATATTTCAATATACACAGTTAACGCACAATCTGTGAATATCAAGCAAGTTGATCTTGAAGTTACTTTTGAATAGTTTTATTCTCCCAGATACTGCTTGCCTTCTCATTTTATTCAACAAACTGAGCACAGTCAAGCATTTTATTCGACGTCTTAAAATTCAACGAATAAATTTATTTATTTAAACAGTTGAAAATCTAGACAAACATTACTGTGATCTGGAATTGATAAATTGTGGGACTTGGGAATATTTTTATAGCGTTTGGGACTTGAAAGCTGTACTAATATACAAAAAATTATACTGAGACGTAATATTATAGTTTTACTCACTATTTTGATTTTAACGACCAATTTATGAAAATATATATATATATATATATATACATATGTACATATGTACATATTATATGTTAATAAAATCTTTTTGCCATTTTCATAATTTAGCTGTTGAAAATTTTATTCATTGTGGAGTTTTTAATAGAACCTTTATATAAAAAAGCTCTTTATAATAAGCCTGATATAAAAACAGTACATTAAAAAATAAAATAAGTTCACATATAGAATATTTTAATAATTAATAAACTTTAGAAATTTTATTTATAGTCGTTTTAACGTGAGCTTTCCTGAATATTTTTATTTATTTTGAGTTAAGGAAAACATTGACGCTATTGACGATGAATGGAAGCGTCGAATTACTTATACAAAAAAAATAAGAAATACCACGAAAAATTCATTTCATATTATTTTACCAAAATATATTTTCCTAAAAACGCAAATACCAAAATTAATCTTTATATAAGAACCTTTAAATCTTCTTTCATTTTTACGTAGCAACAAAATTCAATTTGAGATTAACTTCTCCTCTTTAGCGAATACAAGAAGGATATAGATTAAGAACAGAGGGTGCGTAAATCGGCAATTCAGTGAAGACGCTCCCCCTTAACGTAAGATGTTACACGAAATGGCGTTGATAACTGTCAAGATATTAGGACGCTTACTTTAATGTGCTCTTAATTGTTAAGGGGAAGATAATTACAAGATTAATGAAGATAATTCGCCCAATTTAGCTAATGGTTCGTAAATGATAGAATAACATCGGCTCTTAAATTAACACGTTTTGTATAAATGTATGGAAACTGAAACAGAACCTTCTGTCTACTGTTCATGTATTAATCTATTGTTTTACAAACGCATGATATTTGTATTGTATTCTTAGAGAAATAATAACAAACGCCATTTTCTTGAACTCATTTTAATGAATTTTAATTTTTTATAGTATAGTATCTTGATGAACTGGTGTTTCATTCAGAACATTAAACTTAATACTACACGATTTTAACATCCTACATGTTTCACGTCTATGCTTATTTTATTATTGATAAATGTTTAATAAAATAATGTAATTTCATGGTACATATAAACTTTGTAATAAATGCTTAAAGATATGTAATGATATCGACAACACTATAACACACTTCCTTCGTTCAAAATATCGTGGTTGTTTGCTTTTATATAAAAAACTAGCGGACCCGGCAAACGCTATTTGTCATATAAAAAAGTAGGGGTCGATGAAAAAAAAAGGCTGCGTGTATTTCTAAATGCTACATTAAAAAAATAAAAAAAAAAAAAAATTAAGGGTGAACAACCCTTATCACATAGGGGTATGAAAAATAGATAGTAACTGATTCTCAGACCCACTCATACGCATATAAAAATGTATAAAAATCGGTAAATCCGTTTCGTAGGAGTACGGTAACTAACACAGTCACATGGAAATTTTGTATACTAGATAACGAGTTTTAGTTTCAGACCTAAAACATTTTAGAGATAAGTCTAAGCCTTAAATATTTTTGGTATATACTTACAATACAATATTTAGCATCAGGTGGACACTGGTTTAGTCTTGCAGCACTTCTGTTATTGCAGGGAGTTATAGAGCCGACTCCATCACTATACTGTCCGCACTGCCAACACTTGATGCTGGCCACCGCTGCCACAAATGACAGCAAAATGAAGAAAGACACTAGTCTTGTATGAGACATTATCTGGAATAAAGAAATAGATGTTAGAACGCCAGAACCAATGTGTTTTTTCCGAGTCATATGTACTTTATAAGAGTATTTAGACATCACTGATTAATGCATTCCCAAAAAGGGGTTGATGTCAGGCAAGCGGCCGGTCGTAAACAACAATTAGCCAAAACTATTTACAACATTTTCTGTGGGAGAGAAGAACATGTTGTGCCGACCGTACGTAAAGTGGGATCAGGACAGGAAAAAAAGTATCAAAAATGCCTTGAAATTAATTACAATTAAAGCGGTTTGAAAGTAAGAGCAATAGTCTACAAGTAAATAAGAAAGAATTTAAATTTATATATATTTATTAAATCATTTATTATGTTTAACAGCTGCTTAATAATAAAATTTCGTGACTGCAATGAAAACTGCTATCAAGACCGTAGTTTAAAGTAATCTAAATGGACATACATACATATATGAATTTTATATATATCCAACTCCAGGTTACAAAATTGCTTTCGAGATTGCTTCGTTTCAATGAATAAAATTTGCTTTTGTGAATTTACAACTCTAACGATTTTCTGAACAAAATCACATAGTAATTTACTTAACCTCAGAAAGATGTTGAACGTTCTATTGATAAAGTTATGGTGATACGTATATCATATGTATAGGGTTGTCCAACAATATTAATAATATATAATGTTCAATACTATTAATTTTCTTTTTAATAATTGCTAAAGAACTTCCGATAAGCTACATATCTAAATTACTTTTTGTTTAGAGTTACAAGACAATCTTTAATGCTTTTTAACCCACAACTTAAAATCTTTTTAGATATTATATGCTACGAAGTGACTGACTTTGAATAAAAATAACCTTTATATAAGGTTAAAGATCACTTATTGATATCATTGTTATATGTTGAAGGCTTAAAAATACTAAAAAGACTATTTCAACGATAAATATTTTATAAATTAAAATCATAATAGATATGTAAAAGTTTTGTTTAAAATAAGTAGACAGAAAAAAAAGTGAACGAAGGAAAACTAATTAGAGGAAAAGATAACATTATACTCGTATAATTAACTTAAAAAGTTTTTTATATAAAACTATGTCTAATGGACTCCTATATTTTCTCTATAAAACAATTCTATATTACACAAATTCTATTTTAGTTAACTAAAGCCCTTATTAGTTTCATATGTTCCACAACTAACTCAACTAAAAGCAAATATATACGTTTCTAATATTGATACATTGTTAAATATATATTCAGCGTAAGCGTTCAAGCAAAAGTTTGTACTTAGCAGTGAGTGGTGAATGAACATTTGTCGAGGCCCTGAAGGCGATAAAGTAGCCAATAATATATTTTCAACAAAAATCTTAAGGGCTAAAGCTCATGGGAAAGTAATTATTGACAACAAGACACATGTTTTCACACGTGGATTTTACTAAAAACATTTATTTACCAAGTTTTTGAACAAAAAATTCTTCTCAAAAAATATTATGTTTTTAAATTTAATTGTAAACATGAAATTCTGGTAATAAAATGAGAATCTTATCTTATCTTCAAATGTATCATAAGTTTATTTCATGTAAAATTATAGATGAATATGTAATATAAATACTCTGTTATTTAAAGTTTTTCTTGAGTATTTGTGAGTTGTCTACGTTTCGAAAAAGTTATACATGGGTCTGAATTTTATAAAACCATACCAGACTTTCTCAATGATACGATAGTTGATAAATAGATCGATTGATAAAAAAATAGTTACTGAATTTCTATTGAATAAATAACACTTTAATCTCTCAAAATGTATTAAAGAGTGATAATAGAAAAAGAACTAAAAATATAGTGTTACATTTAAGTATATATATGATGAGCAAGTTAGTTAGAAATATTATCAATATCTTATGTTTCTCCTCTACCCAAGACTCAAGACACTATGTATAAAGATCTTATTATACGGGATAGTGCCCTAGCAAAGTTTCGTCAGCGTTTTGTTAGTTAAGCCGCAATGACCGAGCATTTGCTGACCCTGACACAACCGGTTAATATGTTATTTTCCATAAGACTTTTATCAGTAACTTTAACCTTTAAGTCACGTCTTTTCTAACTTATTACTTATCAAAGATTTCCGTCACATAAATTAACTTTATAAGTACATGCAAGTATTTACATAAGTTTTTAATTGCAGTTATGTTTATTTATTTGTATGTTTAGTGTTTTAATCTTTGAGTGTGTGTGTTTTTATCTTTAAAATTGTACTTTTCTTTCATTTGATTCCCAGTTTGCTTATCATGATTTTTAGCTTTGTTTGTTTAGTATTAATCAAATATTGCAATAGTATCAGTTCTTCTCCAATACGATGTGAAACAAGGATAACATATCTAGGATTTCAGGTTTTTTTTTTCATTTACTTAGATAAATACTTGAATCAAACCTGACACTAATTGAATACTGTTCTTTGAGTAAAGCGGGTGGAACGCTATACTTGTGGCTCAGGTCATGCATCCACGGAGGTGAGGTTTTTTTTGTTCGATGGTCCAGTTATGTGGGGTGCTTTTTACACAAAAAATAGATAGGACCGCCAATTTCAATTTAACCGCCGGAAAACTGAAACGCTGAGGTCGCATCAGCGAACTTGCAGAGAGATCGTTTTACGAGATAATAATAGGAGCAATGATTTATTTTATTCTTTAAAATTGAACTGCAATACTTGATTGAATGGGGATATTTTTTTTAAATAAACAATATTAAAACTCATGAACAGATTAAAATGTGAAATCTGCTTCCAATGTAACGTGTATGTTGGACTGAGAATAGAAGTAAAGTAAACTCAACAATTTTTTTTATTAAGATCCAAATTTCATAAATGAGGTGAATGATTAAACTGTACATTTTATTTAAGTTGGAGCCAAAATTAAAACTATCCTATAACCGGCATGGTACCATACCCAAGGTGACGTATGCACTTACTAACTCAAATTATAAAGAACTCCATGAAAAAAATACTACAAGACGATCAAGCGTATGTCCTCTTTATAAACAAAAATGCAAAAAAAAACATTCTAGAAAAGGCAAGACGTCATAATTTTATGTTTGAATATAATTGTTTTTATTTATTTGTTAAAAGTTAAAATGATCAATTACGTAACTGCCTTCAAATTAGATCAATTACTTAAAACACAATAGACAGATTTTGAGTCTTAACAAACTTTTAATTAATACGGTACAAAGGGATTATTACAAGACAGAGAGTGGATTTCAAGAAAATTATTCCATTTTGAAACAAGAACAAGGGCCTATTCATATTCATGATTGAAGGAATCTTTAAAGAGGCAGTTATTGAACGACGGTGGTCCAGAAATCTTTTATTGAACTTTGCCTATATCCTTCGGCTAGACTGTAATCATAGACTACGTCAGCTTTGAAAGCTGTAATTTGCATTTCTGATGTGAGATAATAACGTTATAGTACAATGAAGATATATTGTACGCTCATTTTTTGTACGTTCACTTTATCTTTATAATCTGAAAGATGAAATTCATCGAGATAAAGCCTTCACGTCATTTTTTAAGCATATAAATCATAATTAATCTTTAAAAAAGTATCCTGTTCGTTATAATAAATTATAATCATAACTTAAAAATTTTAATATTAACTGTAAGGGAAGTTTATTTGTATAAGGGTAGATTATATATGTACAAAAGCTATTGCTGCAATTAGTGGTATGTTCAAAATATTTGCAGTAAGGCTGTATTGACGAAGCTTAGAGAGATTATCTAGTTAAGCGTCACATCAACATCATTGATTGCGACCTTTGTTAGTTAATCAATTTAATATCACACAGGAAATAATATAAGACACAACGTTTGTCTATGTTAGAAAACATTAGATGGCTGTAAAATATTCTAGCTTAGGTATATGTTAAAAGTATATGCAAGTGAAGATTTCAGAATAAAGTGTTATTGAATAACCCAGTATAAAAAATAAGAATTGAATTCTATGGAAACACATATTTTTTCGTAGTTTAACATCGAAAAAGTCTTGTCTGTCTTGAAAAAGCCTACTCTTTAGATAACTTGTTTCAAATTGTCAGGTGCTTTCTTTTGCGACAAATACTTGGAAATGTAAAAATATTACAATTATAATAATTACACTCGTAAATATAAAAATTAACAAACAAGAATTGAACCCTAGTTTCTGAAAAAAAGTAGGTTTAAAGTAATAAATTATTACAACAAAGATATGCAATATAAAGTATGACAAAATTATTCATACAATAAATATTATGGCAATGATAAAAAAAAATTATTCGACCCACACCGATTTATGTGGATAGATTTTCTAATCTATTTTTTTGTTGTTTTTTATTATATTTTATCTAGGTAGAAACATACACAATTAAATATCTATAATTACCCTATTATGATACGACAAAAATAAAATACTTAAAAAAGACACTATAAGTTTAGCTTCTACATAAAATATTACTGTAAAAAAAATCAATTTCATTGAGATACACTACTAATTATTATTTTTCAACCACTTTCATTATTTAAACAATGTTAATATGTTTTATATATGTTCTCTGTTCCTAGCTTGTTTTTTCAACCGCAAACTACGTGAAGAATTTTAAAAGTGAATGAAACATTTTGTATATTTTTAGCAGATTAATCCATGTTAGATGAATCTTGCGACGACAATCGAGTATCTTAATCTGCAACACACTAGTTGACGTTATATTTTTTTATATTTGTGCGGTCTTATTTTAATACACAGACTTTTATCTTTAACAACCTCATTTCCTTCTATCCTCTATTTAATATACAGGTTAAATGTAAAATATGAACGTACAATGTTTTTTTCATGTTATCAGATAAAATCTAATACCGTTAAAGTTCTATCAGCCTCCCAAAATGGTTTCAGTGATAAACGATTGCTTTTTTAATTGCTTTGACGTTCGCTGAAAACTGTAGTGTTGACATCACGAAATTAAATTCATCAATACATAATT